GGAAATCGGGACATGTATATCTGTATAATGATAGCTTGGTTCAAAGGTATCTATTGCAAGCTCAATCTAAGTCCACTCCTTCACTGCCAAAGGAAGTTATGGTGAGGTTACCACTTTCTGATTCAAGCATCACCATAGCTAAATTCATCTCAAACACTACCAATGTGTTTTATTCGGAAGATGAGGTAATAGCCTAATAGGGTTGTGAAATTATTCTGTTACTGGACCACAGTAAAAAATATCTACGTAATGAATCGTATCATTCTTCTTTCAATATGTTAACCGTTTTACTGTTGTCTTTCTTTTTCATCGCAGTATTACAATCAGATGCTGAAAAATTATCCACAGCTTTTTTCCATTGAAACAAATCACAGAGATGGGATTAACCTAAGTTCTGCCAACTTCTCTGGATTTTCAAGCATTAAAAACTTGTACATAACTGGACACAAAAATGGAGCTATAACTTTTTGGGATGCATCATGTCCCTTGTTCATTCCAGTTTTGCAATTAAACCAGCAGGTAGTATTTCAAATCCAAATATATTGGTTTGTGTACAAATGTAAGCTTTATTTGAGTCTAAGAACGTGTACTTTTTTTTTGCTTATGATTATTCTTTCATTCATCTTAATGCAGAGTGAAAATGATCATTCTTTAAGTGGTGTACCCTTGACAGAATTATATTTTGACATCGACTCTCTTCTCCTTATTTCTGGTGATCAGAGCGGAATGGTGAGGTTAATTCAACTATGAATGGATGAAAAACAATATTTTCCTTCTATTCATTCGCAAATTTTCACCGCACTTGCTTATTTTTATTGTATACATTATATGAACATTTATCTACAGGTATTTTTATTGTATACATTATACGAACATTTATCTACAGGTTCGTATATTCCGATTCAAACCTGAACCCTACACCTCCAACAGCTTCATGTCTCTTTCAGGTATTCTATGTATATATCGTGTTACTTTGTTTATATTCTGCATAGTTCACACTTCAGTTAATAATGAGTTGTATTTCCATTTATCTTTTGTAGGAAATACAAAAAAAGGGGTTGATCATGTAGTCAAGAGTATGAAACTTGTAAAAACTATTGGTGCTGTAACTTGTACGACTATAGATCATAGCTCGAGGCATCTTGCTGTTGGTTCTGATCAAGGAAATGTGAGATACTATTCTAGTTATTAATTTTTCTAGATATTAGACTCTTTCACTTGGAGTTTATAGTTGTTTATTAGCTTCACAACATTAATTAGTGCAAATATCTATCTATTTGTTACAGGTTTCGGTTATTAACATGGACGGTCCATCTCTGTTGTATCAGAAACGTATTTCAAGCGAAATTTCTACTGGTATCATCTCTCTGCAGTTCATAGTCTGCAGATTATATGGTTTTGAGAAAAACATCTTAGCAGTCGGAACAAAGGACTCGTCAGTTTTTGCACTGGATAGCGAAACTGGAAACATGATGAGCACTGGATCTGTTCATCCTAAGAAGCCATCTAAAGCTCTATTTATGAAGGTGTTGGGTAAGAGTTTGCACAGATGACACGGTGATCAACTAGTAAAACACATTGATGTAAATTATCAATGATATATGAATGCTTTTTCGGTTTAGGATTCAATGTCAAAACTATTTTTTAATGGCAGTGAAGGACTAGAGTTTTTTTTTTACGATGTTATACAGATGGACAATGTGAACCAATTCAAAAAGATAGCTTTGATTTGAGAGAAGGGAATCGTATTGAGGATGCAACATCAAAGAAAATGTACATTTTGTTGTGTTCTGAGAAGGCTTTATATATCTATTCATTTGAGCACGCTCTACAGGTACAATGTTCTTTATTTTTATCCTTACGAGTTATAAAGAACCGGGAGACTAGCTAATGCTTGCAATTACTCTCTATTGTTTTAGGGAATCAAAAAGGTGATTTACAAAAAGAAGTTCTCTTCTTCCTGTTGCTGGGCATCGACTTTTTACAGCGCCTCTGATATTGGTTTCCTACTGCTTTTCACTACTGGAAAAGTAGAATTAAGGTGGATTTTCTTTCTGAAGTCTGCACTTACTTTTCATAAAATAAATTGATGAGTATACAAAATACATAGAATTAGACTTACCAATATTTTAATTTTTTTTTCCCGGCGCATTGTTTTTTTTCTTTATTATTTCTGTTTTGATTTAGGTCTTTACCAGACTTATCTTTGATAGTGAAGACTTCAATTAGAGGCTTCACTTATTCACCTCCGAAGTTTAAGTCATTTTCTGACAAACAGATATGTTGCTCATCCAGAGGAGACATTGTTCTGGTATGACAGAATCTTTCACTAAACTAACAAGCTTCAGATATTTATGATATCAAATTAACTCAAAGTCGGTTTACAGGTGAATGGTGACCAGGAAATTTTTGTTGTCTCATTGTTGATCCAGAGGAATATTTTCAGGTATATATGGTTAAAGAATGGGACTGAGTCTTATTATCAATCTCCCCGCAAGGAATGCTACCTACAGTCTTATCTTTGTTTTTTGTTTTTCGAACTGGAAACTAAAGATAAAAGTGATACTGGTAAATGGTAAATTAGTAGTCTCGTTACATAATGGTTGACTTCATTGTAGGCTTTTGGACTCTGTTACCTGCATCTACAGGAAGGAAAGGATGTTATCACAAAAGGAGCATGTTCCTAACCCAGTCATACATAAGGAAAACAAGGTTGACATTAACATATGAATAACTTATCCAACTATACCCATTATTTTGGTTACAAAATGTATTGAATCTTGTCTATGTGTAGGGCATATTCACCTCGGTTATCAAAGATTTTAGTGGCGGCAAAGAAAAGCATATGCCCCTCCTGGAAAAAGAAGATCCTAAAGAAAGTCTCCGGGAACTCTCTGCAATATTTTCACATGCAAATTTTCCACTGGATACACACAATAGTGTGGATGAAAATAAGCTAGAATCAAGCTTAGGTATAACATTGCCTCAGATATGCATGACTTATTTCTCCTTATATGCATTTTATAGCATTTAGATACTAGAGTTTAAGCCAACCAATTTGAGATGTTCTCTTTTCCTCCTATTTAGATGACATGGATCTGGAGAACCATAGAGAAATACGCAAAGAACAAAGCATATTAGGAGGTCTTAATAAGAAGAAATTGGCTGGAAAGTTTCAGGCTTTGAAAGGTTAGTGACAATGAGCTCAATTTTATGCAAACTATGGTTTCTTATGTTCATATTTGACCTACAAAACAAGAACATGAATGAACTACTCTAGATGCTATGAAACCTGAGCTAATTGGGATTTATATAGAGATCGGGATCTTATTATGTATTCCAGTACTCGTGGTCAAATTGATAATGATCTCTCAGGTTTTGCCTTTGGTTTGTGGCAAAATACACTGTGTTAAGCATAATGGTAAATAATATTGGGCATCAATATGCAGGAAAAGTGAGGGAGATGAAGGGCAACAACCAAAAAGCATCCGATAGGGAAGAGCAACCAGATGAGAAAATTGGTGCAGTCAGTCAAATTAAGAAAAAATATGGATTTTCTTCTTCGTCCAATGTAAGTATATATTTGTCATATCCAACATTCATTATAAGGCTTGTCTTGCATTCTGTCATAGTTCACAAGTAATGGCACATCTTTACAAGTTAAATGTGTTGCCTGGGGACTATTTTTCTGTCTGGAGGTGGTAAGTGTATCTGTTTATGCAAATGTAGTTTGAGTGTCAAGATTGATCAGTATCAATAAGATTCAATTGAGAAAATGATATATTTACCATTTTGAGCATAACAATTACCAGGAAAATGGTATATTTCAACTTAGAAACTATGGGTTTAATAGCAATAGATCTCAAGACGTATCCTTTGCAATAAGTTGTAACTTAGTATCTGATAGGACTCTGGATGAGAAAGCTGGCCCAAAAGAATAGTTAGTGCTAGGCCTATAGTGTGGGGAGTTTATGTTAAAAGAAATAGAGAAGGTCAAAATGGGAATATCCACATGGCTGAGAGTGTCACTATTTGATTAGCATAACTTTCACATATAATTAAAATACTAGTATTTGTTTTCAGAAAGATGATACTAATCACAAATTTGGCACTATAGGAAACAAGCGTCGCTGAATCTGCAGAAAGCAAGCTCCAGGAAAACACAAGGAAATTACAGGTGTAGTATTTGTAGACAGAAATAAATATTATGCAGTATATTGTTACTATTTAGCATATGACAATAAATGCAAGAAGAATAAGAAAGATGAAAAATCCACTATATATTTGTTTACAAATTTTCCTATAACTTGACAGGGTATTGAGCTGCGTACTGCAGAGATACAAAATAAGGCAAAATCATTTTTATCGATGGCAAAACAGGTGCTGCGAAACGCTGAACAGGATAAACAAAGTTGATAAGACCGGTTAGGTACTAAGGTCATTAATTTTGTTTTCCTTTTTCAATTACTTGTATATTAATTTTAAAGCTTTATATATTCTGTGTTAGTTTTGCTTCTTTTGAAATTAACCCGCACCATTACGTTCATATGTTGATTGCAGAGTAAAGAAGCTTGACCATTGCACTTAATGCTCCCTGAAGTACAGATGAAACAGCAATTGCTCCAACTTTATGCTATACATTATATTAATAAAGACCCGCAACTGATTCAAGGACATAAACAAGTCATTTTCTATGGAATTTGTAAATCAAAGTATTATAAGCTTATGTTTATATTTCTCTCCACCTTGTCTCTTTGGAGAGAATTATTTGCACATAGGAATATTTACATACACACACAATCACAAATTAAAATCTCAACTCTTAAAAATGGGAAAAAGTTAAAATGTGACGTCCAAATTGCTGAGATTTTCTCCTTTTATTTCGCTAACTGGAGTATTATTAGCCTATGGTCGAGACAGATGGCAATTCCTATTACAATGCCTTTAGAACTTAAAGAAATTCCACATAGCATGAGTTCAGAAGACAAACTTTGCAACAACTAGTGCTTTATCAACAGATCTTCCAGAAGTGAGCGTATCTGTTCTTGAACAGCATCTCTGTTACTAACATTCAATGTAAACAAAGATGCTCCTGGATGATTCCTCAATGTTGCAACTGCAAAAATGCAAAACACAAGTCTTTAACATGTTCGGAAAATCAGTTAAAATCCTCAAAACATCAGTAGATCTATGAGATAGATGGTTATCAAGGCTCACGACAGATTTATCTCATCTCAATTATTTAAAGCATCAAGAAAAATCACTCATGCCAAGGAAGAAACATGACGTTTGAAAAATGGGGATTTTGAAAGTATAAGAAATTTACCTGCAGTTATATCTCTGCCAAATTTTGGAACTGGAATGGAAGCCAAAATTGGGATATTTGACTCCAAAACTTTTAGAACTGCAGGGAAGAATGACGAACTGTATAACTCCATCTTACCAACTTCGTCAATGATGAAAAGATCAGTGTCTTCTCTAACCTATTCATTAAGCGTGTCTCTTCAAATTTCAGAGAGTGGTCTAACATATGGGTATCTGTAAATAACATCTTTGTATATCCTGAATGTGCAAATTTACACTCAGAAATGCAAGGGAGCAGCTCAAGAGCACCCTACCAGTACTGTGTTCTTTATATGCAACAAGCAGTATGCAAAAGCAAGCTCACCTGCAACTCAGGCAGTGCTAGTGACTCGAAAGATGCTACATCAACTTTATACTTCCCAACATTAGGCCATCTTTGAGACTCTTGGCTGCCAATTCCATTAAATAACACACCCTTTAGTCAAATAAGCAAAGCTTTGACAAAACTAAACAAGACTGTTATGTAGGATCTGGATTGTCTGACTCTGATATGCTGCCAAATAACAAGTCACAACAGTCAGCACATATAGGTGCTCGGATCAAAATTGTTCATATTTCAATTTCACCAGAGCAAATTACAAATATAAACTTGGAATTAAAACCGTCCAAACTTAATGATACGGTCTAGATGTACTAACTGAAGTGACTACACGGTATTCTGGCTGCATCTAATCCAAATTCTGTAATGCCACAACATTTTTAGAAACACTTAAAAAATCCTCTCAAGTTGTTCTGTGTTTGCTAAAAGAGATGTTTTAAAAACCGAACCGAACTCATGATTCAAACCAGCATTGTCTACAATTAGGTTATTTACGCGGTTCGACTGCGGTTTCGTCCAAGCTCAAGTGGTTGAATCACGATTATGAGGTCTTATTAATTCAATGTCCGGTTAGGTTTTTTAAAACATCAATTAAAACATAACCACGGGCACCATTATTGCCAAGAAACACAGAACATTGCTGCTCCAAGTGCAGAACAAAAAAAAATTGTATCTTTAGCAACGGAATGAAAAACAGAACCTTGAAAAGGTGGAAGAAGCAAGTGGGCATGTGCGACCATCAAGAGTGACAACTTCGAAACCAACCCTCTCACCTGCGAGTCTAACTTCACCTACAAAACCAATCAAACCATTGAAAAGTTTTGGGAATTGGGGAAGGGTGGTGAGGGGTTAGGGAGAGATTCTTACGAGTATAGAAACCCTGGACCTTGAGGGTGGGATTTGAAGCTTTGAGAGTATCGAAGACTCTCATAATAAGAGTGCTTTTTCCCACACCCTGAAAAACAATAAATCAATCAATTACATAAATGAATGAAAGATAACAATGGAAGTAACAGAAATTTGAAAGAAAGGAGAAGCAGAGATCGGAGAAGGGATGACTCACAGGAGGACCTGTCACTATCAAGCATTTCCCAGCACCAGACATTGTTTCTGTTCCTCAATCTTCGCAGTGCTGAATATTTAAGTTGGAATTATTTCTTTATAGTTTTACACATTTCTCAATTATACTTTTAAAGTTTTATGTGGCAATTCCAATTTCATTAATGATTTAGGATTGAGGAATATTATGACTAGAGTACCTGTAGCACTAATCACAATGTAAACAACTAGGTTTGTTTTTTTTAATGAATTTTGTTTATTATATAGTACTCAAATTTTAAATGTACATTACATTAATTAATAATTATATTTGGTTATAAAATTTGATACCCGGAGCTTTCCCTATAATTTTTCATGAAATTCACCACCAAACCAATCTTGAGCAAAACAGTTTACCTCGAGCAACAATACATATCCCAATGGTATTACAAATCCAATTGTTCCCTGGATTGCGACCAACCTTTGGAAATATAATATGTGCTCAATTCAGCAACTTTACACAAAGTTCTGCCCCTTTTTTGTCCATATCAAAATTCACAAGTGGGTCCAAAACTAATATTTATATTAAATAAAAAAATAAAGGCCCGAGTTTACTTCCTAACGCTAACAAACTTGTATCAGTCAAAACAAATGCTTAACAACCATTTGGAAGGTAGTGAAATGTTTCACTCAAAAGAAAATGACAACGGCATTCCATAGAGAAATAAAACGACTGTACTACCATAGAAAACTGAGTTTGTATTAATAATAGAGATGGAGTTAAAGTACAGGTCATGGGGCTGAACCTAAACTTAATATTATGCACTAATATAAACCTAAGGCACTGAAAATGTTTATCACATCACAAACAGCAGTGTAGATCCAAAATGTCCCCAAAATTCATGAAAACCTACTAACAAATTATTTTTCTATGGCAATAACTACTACGCTTCTTCTTCTTCGAAGAGCAGCAACTTTAATCGTCAGATTCTTCCTGAAAAATAAAGCAATAAACTCAATCAACACAATAACCAATAAAATAACACCTTCAAAGCATTTAAGAGTAAAAACGATAGAAATATTACATCATCATCGTCCTCATCATTAACTTCAGACTTGGACTTGTCAGATCCCTCTTCTTCAGATGGAGCTTTTCCTTCAGCCTAATACATGAAAATTTTAATTCAATTAACCACAAACAATAGCGCAAATCAAAGTAAAATTAGATCAATACAAAAACAATTAAGTTACCAATGAAATGTTGTAGGAACGGATAGCCTTCTCATATTCCTCTTTCTTCTTCTCTGCAGTAGCAACATAAGGAGCCTTTTCCTGGGGAAAAAAACGCAAAACGCAAAACGCAAAAAGACGTTAAAATCAAAATCTAATTAGCATAATCATCAATTAACTTCCATAATCTGCGCGAATAACTCACAGCAGCAGACAGTGCTTTCCACTCTTTTCCTCCAGCCTTACCAACCTATTCAAAATTCAAAGCAAATCGCATCAGATAACTCAAATACAAATTCAAATTTCAAAAATATATCGAGAACTGCAACTTAACGTCACAAAACTCACCACAGCAACGGATTTGTTGTTAGGATTTTCCTTTTTGAAAGTCTCTCTGAACTCAGCCCTAACACCATAACAAAACCGCGCAAATCAAAATCAAAATCCAATTCACCTGAAAATCAGAATCAGATCGAACAATTTCTAGTACAGAAACATACATGAAAACGAAGAAAGCACTTGGAGGCCTCTTAGGCTTGTTTGGATCCTTCGCAGCTTTCTTCGATTGTTTTGTTCCAGTTCCAGCGCCCTTGCGCTTCAACCTAACAAGCAAAAACGAAAACGATATCGCAACAGTTAGATCTGATAAACGCGCAAAACTGAATCTGACAATGCGGAAGAAGAAACTCACAGGTTATCAGCAGGTTTCGCAGTGGATGTGGCCTTAGGCATGATGATCGAAGTTCGGAGAGAAACGGTGCGAGCGAAGGAGGGTTTGTGCGAGTAAATTCGATTTTGCGAATTGTGAAAAAAAAATGAGAGCGTGTGTGGGTTTTTGAATGTGAGCGTGAGAGCAATATGGAGGGAAAGTGAAATTTGGAGTACGCATTTAAGCGGGATAATGAAAAGAATATGTACATGTCATCGATCCGTGTGCTCTCGCTATTCCTTCTTTGGTTTCAGTTGTGCGAAGCTTGTGTTTCCTTTCAGCACTGTGCGAAGTGTGCACGTGCACGTGCGGAATTTTATGTACTATTGAAAGAAAGATGTACTCAAATCGCTAATAGAATTCGCTTAAAATTTTATTTATCTCTTACTCGAACTAGGAGAACTAGGAAAAAATAAAATCAGAAATAAATTGATACAAAAATATATTTTTTATAAGTATCTTTGTTCTACACAAAACTTTTCATTTTTTTCTGAAAATTTGAGATGATTCCAACTTGTTAATTCATAAGATGTAGATTTAGGATCTAAAGTTAGAGTTCGACAATAATTAAATCATATTTTTTATTTAAAAATAATAATTGTAACAAATAAATTTTTTATTAGTTTGATTTTATTTTATTTGTTTTAAATCATTGAAGCATCTCATCAAACAATAACCATATAAATTAGATTTGATGCAAACAAGCACTAAAGAGATAAATATTACCTCGTATCACGAGAGCAATATGAAAAGGGAGAATAAGTGATATCTTACTCTTTGAGGAGTCATCAATATGAGTGTCGAACGTGTTGAGTTTAACAATGCACGTGTAAATGGGGTTAATATGTGACTATGAGATCTTGATGTTTGGTATAAGGTTTTGCAAAGGGAAAATCCCAACGACAGTGGTCTTTGTGATAAGAGCAAAGAGTGATATGAAATTATGTTTGCGTTGGAGATAGAAGTTGGTAATCGTAGATCTAGGGTTTCGTGTGTTTTTGCGTTATGGATCTATCTTAAGATTTGTTTAATAACAATATATGATCATTAATTACAATATCATCACGCGGAATCACGCGTTTATAGTTTGGGCTCATTTTAGTGATGGGCTTTTGTAGGCGAATTGTTTGGATTTATTCTCAACTTCAAACAATAGTATTCCTTTAAGTCATAAATACTCTAACATATGGCCTTCGATTTTTTAAGTGGTCAGATAAATGAAATGTTTATTCTCCACAGCATTTTTCTCGTCATAAAGAGCATGTACATTTAAACAATCATAATGTAGTTAATTGTGTCGTCAATCTTAACTCAAATGCCAATAATCATAATGGCTTAGCATTGTTATTATGATATGTTTGGTTAAATATTAGTTTCCAATGTCCATACCAACTTGGTTGCAATAGTTGCACAAGGAGAAATAGAAACATGTAGGACTTTAAAGGAGCTTGGTTGCATTATAAACAAGGGGTTGATTGTGATTTTACTTCACATTTTCACCAATAACATGCTTAAACCATATCTTACCTTGACATAAGAATGTTTTTGTAAGTATACCTCACTCATTTGGAGAAAAAAACATATGAAAAGATGAATCGAGGATGATGTCCTTAATTTAAGTCATCCTTCGTGTTTCATACATGAACATTTGTACTCATCGTGGGCCCCGATCAAACTTACATAAGCCTTAAGATCACATTATCAAGACGATTAAGGCATATTCTTCAACGTAAAACAAGTTGTTTACTGCCATAATGTTACCATAAAAAGATGCTTATGGCATATCAATATGTCACACAGTTTCAAATAGCTTCTTACCACATGTTATTGTCTGAATTGAAGATTAACCTTATTATATATATCATTTGTCATTGGATTCCCACCATTTGCATTCATTCAAGTTATCAATATGTTTGCCATGATGCTGTGATTAAAACCCTATGATACTGGTCATTGATTGTCCATGTATGTCATTTAATTTTAGTTTGAAAATCTAGGGTTTCTTTAGTTCGTCTCAAAATTCTTGAGATAGAGGAAAAATAAATGAAATTAAATGACATATCTGAATTCCTTGCAAAATTTTGAGTGAAACCCTATATTTACTTTTCATGTTTGATGCGTATTCTGAGAAGTCACATTTTTGAATTTCCTTGAGTTTGTGGATGTTCAGAGATTGAAGATGACTTGTTTTTTCGCATTTTAATATTTAAATATTTTCCTAATATATTATTTTTTTAGAAGCGAATGTTGAACAAGGCCTTATGGCCTGCCCTGGTGGTTATGTTGTTTTAGCTATCACCTGAGGGGCACGGGTTCACACCCCAACAACCCTCCTTTCTTTTTTGCCCATTATTTCCTTCATAGTTTCCTTCACATTTCTCTTCTTCTTTTTTTAATATACCTTTTATTTGTCTCTTCATTAGGTTTCTCATTAGTTTATTTTTAATATACCTTTTATTTTAAAATATTTTGTTTAACATTATTGTTGGATGTGTATACTTGTGCCATTTGTTTAAATGTTAGAATTTTGTCGATGATATTGTTAACCTAAAGTCTTTGAATCCATGATTGCTTTACATATTTGGTACTTGATAAACCTTTGATGAAATCATGTTCTTGCTTTTTGTCCATGTATTGATGTTGTTTTGTTGAAGCATGCCTTGATGAATAATGTGCCATTGTCTCTTATTCACATGTTGATGTCATCTCACCTTTGTTTGAAGATGTCTTGATACTTTGAGGATTCATAGTGATATGTGTTAATGTTTAATCATAGTTTGAATTATGCTTATACTTTACGATCCATGATTGGTGTTACTTGAGTTTGATATTATGCTTTGGTCATACCCACAATGCTCACTTGATTCTTGACGTACTTGATTGAGCTTGATACCTTGTACATATACCTTGTGCTTTGTCTTTGTGACATGTTTTCTTAATTCAGTGGAAGAGACTTTTTGTCGACTTCTTGTCATGTGCATATGCATGTTGTTTCTTTGTGTCCTTTACTTACTTGTATGATTATTATTTTCCTTTAGCTTGATTCCCTTTAGATTGATTACACTAGGTTGTTTATCCTTAGGTCGTTATCATTTGATGATTTACCATTAGGTCTCCTCTTTTCTAACTTGAATCTTTTCATAAAAAACCTTGACACTGGGTCATTGACTTTTTCAAACCTTTTCTTTAGCAAATGCTTCAAGACATCTTAAGCATATTCAAACCTTTTCATAAGACTAAAAGACACTAACCTTATTCAAAACTTTGTCGTTTATCTTTTCAATTAAAAATATTTTCTCAAAGAAAGATGAGACATGATTCATCCCCAGTTGAGATATAAATCTCCTAACCCATTACATTGTTGACAAAGATGTCGATTCTTTTCCACTTGAGAGAGGTATGTGGCATACTTGTTGATTATACATCAAAGTTAGAACTCTTCTCTCAATGTGAAGCAAAGATCCTTCTTCCGCATGTTTGTGGTGGTTTATATGAGTATTCTCTTTAAAATGACAAATTATCTCTTCTTTATTAAAATTCACCATAACAAACCACTTTTCTATTTGTATCCCAAACTACGAGGTTTTGATCCTGCATTGGTACGTAGGCACAAGACTTTGTGTCTTGCCAAACACAAAAACAATAAAAAATATTTCTCTTCTCATCTCCCAATCAATCAATAGTAAACAACTTTTAACCTAACACAAATACAACAAGAGGTTCCTATTGTTGAAATATTTTAATAATATAGTAATATATTAATATTCCAATAATTATGCGGTCAAATATATTTATTTATTATATTAGCTATTTTATCAATTAAGTGCCTTTAAATAATTAATGATCAAATAATGTTAAAAATGCTATTTAAATTTTATTTATGAATTACTTAATTAATTAATTAATTAATTAATTAATGGGGTATGAAGTCAAATATGAGTGATGTCAGGATGGCTCAGTTTGGAACAATGGAAATCCTAATTGGCCATCACACTATATATAGGCTATGGTCCCCAATATATCTTACAACAAGCAAATTATCTCTTCTCCCATCTAAAGAAAATTTGAGGCATAAGGAGTACCGGTTGAAGAAGAACCACAAAAGCCAACAACTTATGGATTTAGGATTACCGTCAAAGGCATTTTTTTCAATAGATCCAAGTATTTCAAAAATCATTTTTTTCAATAGATCCAAGTATTTCAAAAATCAATCAATCAATCCTTTAATTTTATACATGTTTGATTTCCGCGTCCAAATTATATATTATAGTAATGTGTAATTTTATAGGTATTTAATCTTATTTTTTATTGTGTTTTACTATGTTTTGTATTTAAGCCAAATGAGATTTTTTCTTAACCTTTTGGCCTTAATTTATGGTAATATCTCAAAAGGGTTGAGGTTGTTATAATATGAGTTATATATACACTCATCATTTTGAATTTGGTGCCGATTTGGTTGTTTTTGGATATAGATAGTTATTACAATGTATAACCAAATGAGATTTGGGAAAACCTCATTTGGTTACTGTTTAATCGATAATGTTTAACTATATCAATTTTTATTTTATGTAATTAACTTAATTTTTTTTATTGTGAGAAAAATTTAAATACTAATTTTATTTTATTAAGAAATTTTTTATGAGTGTTAATTTAATTTAGAATTTTTTTTAACACCCTTCGAGTACAACCGATTATACCAGTATGTACATGACATAAACATAATTATGTGTTTAATTTTTCAGACTTAATTATGCGAGTATTTTCTTGCATAATTAGGATAGTTTGATAATCATTTGATTATTAAGCCATCATATAAACATACAATTTTGGAATTACATTTGTGGGTAATGGTTGTATAAATTTTAAGGTCTTCCCATTTAATTTATTAAATTAAAAATGTCTAGCAATTTTGATTTAGTGGGTCGAAACAATAAGTTGCAAAAGTAACCTTTGTTGTGTAAATTTGATTAAATCAAAATTACAAGAGATGTAATGTGTAATTATTCATGCAAGTTGTTATGAT